TGGGTAATTTCAAATTTAGGTTGGATAAATACACGAGTGAGAGGGGTTGGATCTGAGTGGGACTTGCATGTGAGTAAATAGAATTATCAAAGCTTATTATGATTGAGGCTAGAACCTTAGGTAGCTGTAAAGAGAGATTGGACAAATATATGAGTGGGAGGGGATGAGTTTGATTGGTGTTGTGGGTGCAGGAGTGAATTCTTGAGTAGCTTTGGGTAGTGGTGGTGGTTTTGATAAGGACCTACTTTGTATGGGCCAGTAGGCCTTCTGCAGTGTTGCTCTATTCTTATTGCTTGGGTAGCGTTTATTCTGTTAGTGGAAATAAATGGTTTAAAATACCAACACAATGGAAATATAAACACATATGCAGTACAATGTGATCTTTTATTGACAACATTTCGCCCACACAGTGGGCTTTTTCAAGTCATAAACAGATCTACCTGGGTGGAAGGTATGCAAGTACAGTGGACCCCCGCTTTATGATCAGCTCCCAATGTTACCAATTATGTAAGTGTATTTATGTAAGTGCATTTGTACGTGTATGTTTGGGGGTCTGAAATGGACTAATCTAATTCACAATATTCCTTTTGGGAACAAATTCGTTCAGTAATGGCACCTGAACATACTTCTGGAATGAAATAATATCGTAAGGCAGGGGTCCACTGTATTTATAGTCAGGTTCAGAATGCTGGGTCAGGTGGAGAATGCTACATCTGATGATCTACCGAGTGGGGTTATAGAGTCTAAAATCTTGGGTAGCTTGGAAGGGAGATTGGATAAGTTTGTAAGCAGACCTTCTGCAGTGTTCCTCCATTCCTATGTTTTTATGTGGGATAGCGATGAAGAAGTTTCTTGGCAAGTGGTTCAGCTATGTTATAGAAGCCATTGTTCTGGTTGAAGTTGTCGGATATAGAGATAAGCGATGATTCCAGGATTCTTCGGTACTGAGTGTTGTCTTCTCTGGCGATAAGTCTCGAGTTTCTGTAGTTTATTAAAAGGTTGTGTGAATTACGTTGTTGTACACAGGCATTTCTTGTATCGTCAGACCTGCTTGCGTATTGGTGTTCTGAAATATGTGTTTGGAGGTCTCTTGATGTTTCGCCCACATATAATTTGCTGCAGTCATTACAAGGGATTATGTGGATGCTGACGTAAGAAATTGTGCGGATGTTCTGCGGATACATCCGCATACATCCTTACACTACACATACATGTACAAGCATATATATACACACCCCTCTGGGTTTTCTTCTATTTTCTTACTAGTTCTCATTCTTGTTTATTTTCTCTCATCTCCATGGGTAAGTGGAACAGAATTCTTCCTCCATAAGCTATGCGTGTTGTAAGAGGCGACTAAAATGCCAGGAGCAAGGGGCTAGTAACCCCTTCTCCTGTTTAAATTACTAAATATAAAAAGAGAAACTTTCGTTTTTCTTTTTGGGCCACCCTGCCTCAGTGGGATACGGCCAGTTTGTTGAAAGAAAGAAGAAACATGCAAGATTTCAGGTACGTCTTGCTACTTCTACTTACACTTAGGTCACACCACACATACATGTACAAGCATATATATAAACACTACACTGAGTTTTCTTCTGTTTTCTTACTAGCTCTTGTTCCTGTTTATTTTCTCTTATCTCCATGGGGAAGTGGAAGAGTAATAAAATTCTTCCTCCTTAAACCATGCGTGTAGTAAGAGGCGTCTAAAATGTTGGGAGCAAGGGGCTAGTAACCCCTTCTCCTGTATACATTACTGAAGTTTTTTGGGGGGCCATCCTGCTTCAGTGGGATACAACTGATTTGTTGGAAGAAGTAGTTTACTAAATATACTAGGTAAGTGTATGGTAGGGTTATTATTGAAAGAATTAGAGGTAAGACAGAGAGCAGGATTGCAGATGAGCAAGGAGGCTTTAGAATGGGTAGGGGGATGTGTAGATCAAGTGTTTACATTGAAGCATATATGTGAACAGTATTTAGATAAATGTAGGGAAGTTTTCATTGCATTATGGATTTAGAAAAAGCATATGATAAGAGTGGCTAGGGAAGCAATGTGGCAGATGTTGCAAGTGTATGGAATAGGTAGTAAGTTACTAAATGCTGTAAAGAATTTATATGATGATAGTGAGCCTCAGGTTAGGGTGCATAGGAGAGAGGGAGATTACTTCCCAGTAAAAGTAGGTCTTATACAGGGATGTGTAATGTCACCATGGTTAACATATTTACAGATGTGGTTGTAAAAGAAGTAAATGCTAGGGTGTTGGGGAGAGGGGTGGGATTACATTATGGGGAATCAAATACAAAATGGGAGTTGACACAGTTATTTTTGCTGATGATACTGTGCTTTTCGGTGATTCTAAAGAAAAGTTGCAAAGGTTAGTGGATGAGTTTAGGAGGGTGTGTAAAGGTAGAAAGTTGAAATTGAACATAGATAAGAGTAAGGTCATGAGAGTATCAAACGATTTAGATAAAGAAAAATTGAATATCACATTGGAGGGAGTGAGTATGGAAGAAGTGAATGTTTTCAGATATTTTGGAGTTGGCTTGTCAGTGGATGGGTTTATGAAGGATGAGGTTAACCATAGAATTGATGAAGGAAAAAGGTGAGTGATGCATTGAGGTATCTGTGGAGACTAAAAACGTTATCCATGGAGGCAGAGAAGAGAATGTACGAAAGTATAGTGGTACCAACACTTTTACATGGCTACCTTTGATATACCTTTGAAGAGTTTTGAGAGTTTCACTACTCTGTTATGGCAGTGTGCAGATTTGGGACCAAGCCCTTGAGTACTTTCCAGGTATGGGTTGTAAATGCTGCAGTGAGGAGGCAGCAGAGATGTTGTGTCTAAGGGCAATGTGTGGTGTAACTATTATGCAGAAAATTCATAGTGTGGAAATTAGGAGGTGTGGAGTTACCAGAAGTATTAGTCAAAGGGCTGAAGAGGCATTGTTGAGGTGGTCTGGTCATTTAGAGAGAATGGAGCAAAGTAGAATGACTTGGAGAGCATATAAATCTGTAGAGGAAGGAAGGTAGGGTAGGGGTCATCCTCGAAATGGTTGGAAGGAGGGGGTAAAGGAGGTTTTGTGGGTGAGGGGTTTGGACTTCCAGAAAGCGTGTGCGAGTGTGTTAGATAGGAGTGAATGGAGATGAATGATTTTTGGTACCTGACAAGCTGTTGGAGTGTAAGCAGGATAATATTTTGTCAAGGGATTCAGGGAAACCAGTTAGCTGAACTTGAGTTCTAGAAATGAGAAGTATAATGCCTGAACTTTAAAGAAGGGTTTTGGGATACTGGCAGTTTGGAGGGACGTCTAAGCTGTCATATCTGAACACCTTCGCAAAGACAGTGATTATGAGTGATGAGGAAAGTGTTGAATGATGATGAAAACTTTTTTTTTTTTTTTTGGGTCACCCTGCCTTGGTGGGAAACAGCCGACATGTTTAAAAAAAAAAAAGGTCATAGAAAGGGTATCAAAAATACTTTCATGCTCAGTTTAAGGGTTATCATATCAAATGAGAAACAAGTATATTTAAAGTTTGTATATAAACATTCACCAACCAATCATTTTAAGAAAGAGTTGGATTTCAATCATTTACACAGTCAGCAAGTCACAGTTGGGGATAAATTTGTCAGTGGATTCATCACATACATTTTCCCCAGATGTTCTCGGCCTGCAAATTTCTTGATTTATTTACATAAGGTTAAGATAGATTGTTATTATATAATAAAAAGTAAGTAATTATAACATACACAACAGCAATAAATGAAATAAAAGGCAATAAAAAGTTTTAAAGTGTGAACAGAAAATGGGGACCATTGATTAATACTCATGAAACAGTCACCCATATGACTGTCTCAGCAAAAGTGAAATGCTTATGGTTATTAACCCTTTCAGGGTCCGTCCCGTAGATCTACGGCTTTACGGTGAGTGTCCAAACCGTAGATCTACGCCATGAGCTCAGCTCACTCTGATAAACTGTGAGTGGTACATTTGGGCCTAGATATGAGAGAATACATCTATGTGGTATGTGTGCACCACATAAAACAGATCCTGCAGCACACTGTGTATAATGAGAGAAAAAAACTGAAATCATGATTTTTCGATTAAAACAGCAACTTTGCAGTGTTTTTTCGTATGTTTTTTATAGCTGTATTTGAGATTTCTTGGTCTCATTTGATAGAATGGAAGACATATTACAGAAATAGAGATGATTTTGATTGGTTTTAGCACTGGAAATGGCTTGAAACTGAGCTCAAAGTAGCGGAAATGTTAAATTTTTGCCGATATTCAAGAGTAAACAAACGACCTCACACGTCTAATACACGTCAGCTGGTGGGTCTAATGTACATTCACAAATATGGTGATGATATTTATACAATTATTACAGTATTGCATAACAGTAAATCTTCTATTTTTTGGTGTGAATAAAAATTCATTATGTGAATAAAAAATCAAAATGGAATTTATTTGTAAAGCCTCAAAACATAACTAATGAACAGAGGAAATGTTAGTTTAGTGCCAGGAATGCCTACATTGTTTATTCTGGACCCTATTTTGAAATTGGAATATTTTGAACTTTGTGTTAAATTGGCCAAATTAACAATTTCCGATCACTTTATTTTGTAGATGAAACAGTTGACTTGGCGATTTCTTGTGCTCAATCGATAGAATAGAAGTAATACTAGTGAAATAGCTAAGAATTTGGTTGATTGGAATAATGTAATTGGCCTAAAATGGGAGTCAAAGTCGGCAAAATCGCCGATTCGTAAATATCGCTGACACATCAAAATTCGCGAGAGCATAATTTCGTCAATTTTCCACCAAATTTCGTACTTTTTGTTTTATTACCTTCACAAAAAGATTCTCTACGATTTCATAAGAAAAAATAACAAATTTTTTTTTTGAAAATTCTTGGACACTGGTGCGTGACTCCAGATTTGGGCCTTGGACCCTGAAAGGGTTAATATAAAGGGCTAATATTTGTATGGCATCAGATTCAATGGTTATGTTTTTAAAAGAGTTTATTGTATTTATTATTAAAGTACATTATTATAAAAATAAATATAAAGTATCACAAATCAATTCAATATTTTACAGCCTTTTTAACCCTTTGACTGTCGCAACCCCCAATCCTGAGGTGTCTCCTGGTGTCTCAAAATTTAAAAAAAAAAAATTATTTTTTCTTATGAAATGATAGAGAATCTTTTCCCGATTGTAATGACACCAAAAAAACGAAATTTGATGGAAAACTGACGGAATTATGCTCTCGCGAAGTTAGCGACCTCAGCGATGTTTACAAATCGGCGATTTCGCCAACTTTGAGCCCTATTTTCAGCTAATTCCATTGTTCCAGTCGCCCAAACTCATAGCTATTTCTTTAGAACTTCATTTTTTCTATCAACTGAGCACAAGAAACTGCCCATTTACCGATTTCAACTACCTAATAATGTGGTCAGAAATTTGGAATTTGGCCAATTTCACGAAAACTAAAAAATATGACAATTTCAAAATAAGGTCCAGAATGAACAATGCAGACATTCCTGGCTCTAAAATAACATTTTCTTTGTTCATCAGTCACATCTCCAGTCCCCTCTGATATTATTCTTGCTTTCTATTTTGAATTTTTATTCAAACAAAAAATAGAAGACTTACTATTATGCGGACTACTGCAATACTGTAATAATTGTATAAATAACATCAACCCATTCGTGACTGCATATTAGAATGGCTAATTGGGCATTTATTGGAAAATGGCATCATTTGTTTACTTTTGAACACTGGCAAAAATCAAACATTTCCTCTACTTTGAGCTCCATTTCTAGGTTCTTTTTATAGTAAAATCAATCAAAATCACCTCTATTTCTATAAAATGTTTTCCATTCTATCAAATGAGACCAAGAAAGTGAGAATACAACCATAAATACTATACGAAAATAGACCACAAAGTTGGCATTTTAATAAAAAAAAAACGGTCGGAGTTTTTTTTTTCTCATTATGCACTGCGTGCTCCAGGATTTTTTTTATGTGGTGCACACTGACCACACAGACCCATTCTCTCACATGTGGGCCTATCAGCTTTCTCCTGCTTGATTTGAAGCCGCTAGAATTTATGAGTATATATACGTCAAACACGGTACCTTGTAAGACGTACATATACGGCCGTGACAGTCAAAGGGTTAAGGGAAAGAGCTGCACACAAGAACTGCTAAAAACTAACAGATGATACTGCATCTGACAAACTATAATGTCTACACTAATGTAGTTTCAGTAACTCCATGCCGTGCCAATTCCTTTAGTGTGTTATCAAGATAGCTTGGATCAGGGTATCCATGTCCATTGAAATTAGTCCACTCAGTTTTATGGTGAATTTCATTCCAGGTAACTGCATCCTGAATCCCTGTTGTAACAGAAGTACCAATGGTAAACACCAGACGTCGACGCCAAGCTTCTTTCAACATTTTCAATACCTGAAACATGGTATTAAATACATTAAGAAACACATTACAGTTTTATGACACTCAATAATAATAATAATAATAATAATAATAATAATAATAATAATAATAATAAACCCTTCTGTATATATTACTGAATTTAGAAAAAGAAACTTTCGTTTTTCTTTTTAGGTCACCCTGCCTTGGTGGGATATGGCTGGTTTGATGAAAAAACTAATTACAAGGCAATGTGGGATGGCTAATAATTCAGAGCTGAGGAAGGGTTGATGAGGTGGTTAGGGCATGTAGCAACAATGGACAGGGATAGGCTGATGAAGAGGGTGTATAATCTGGGGGTGGAAGGAAAATGGGGAAGGGGTGATGCATCCCAAGAATGTTTGGAGGGAGGGGGTACAAGAGGCTTTGAGTTATAGAAACTTAGGCATCAGCAGGCGATGCAATTGATGTTCTCACTGCATACAATGACCTCTCAGAGACATGCAGGCCTATCATCAGAACTTTTGCACTTATAGAGAACTTGTCATAAGGAAGCAGCATCAGTATGCAAAACAAATGAAGTAGGATTCACTCTTTAAACCTGTTCCTCAGTCTAAGTCTCCCAAACCATCTACTAGTAGGCCTGAGCCATCTACATCTCCTCAGCCAACTATATTTGCTGAACTATCTACAAGTGAATGCAAAAATTATAGGGAAATAAGTCTGCTGAGCTTCCATGGGGAAGTGGAACAGAATTCTTCCTCCGTAAGCCATGCATGCTGTAAGAGACAACTAAAATGCCGGGAGCAAGGGGCTAGTAACCCTTTCTCCTGTATACATTACTAAAGTTAAAAAGAGAAACTTTTGTTTTTCTTTTTGGGCCACCCTGCCTTGGTGGGATACAGCCAGTTTGTTGAAAGAAAGAAGTCTAATGAGTATACCTAGTAAAGTGTATGGTAGAGTTATTATTGAAAGAATTACAGTAAGACGGAGAGTAGGATAGCAGATGAACAAGGAGGCTTTAGGAAAGGTAAGGGGTATGTAGACCAAGTGATTACAGTGAAACATATGAACAGTATTTAGATAAGGGTAAAGAGGTTATTGTGGCATTTATGGATTTGGAAAAGGCATATGACAGGGTAGATAGGGAAGCAATGTGGCAGATGTTGCAAATAGGAGGTAGGTTACCGAAAGCTGTGAAGAGCTTTTACGAGGAAAGTGAGGCTCAAGTTAAAGTGTGTAGGAGAGAGGGAGATTATTTCCCAGTAAAAGTAGACCTTAGACAAAGATATGTAATGTCACCATTGTTGTTCAATATATTTATAGAATGGGTTGTAAGAGAATTGAATGCTCGGGTGTTGGCAAGAGGTGTGGGGTTAACCCTTTCAGGGTCGAGAGGCCCTCTCCTAAACTCGTTCTCAGGGTAAAAAACAAAAAAAAATCTTATGAAATGATAGAGAATCTTTTCCTGATCATAATGACACCAAAAGTATGAAATTTGATCTTGCGAATTTAGTGGTCTCGACGATGTTTATGAATCGGTGATTTCGTCCACTTTGAGCCCTATTTTCGGCCAATTCCAGTGTACTAGTCGGCAAAAATCGTATCTATTTTGCTAGAACTCCATTTTGTCTATCGGATGAGTACAAGAAACCACCCATTTACCGATTTCAACTATCCAATAAAGTGAAATTGGCATCTTCTGAAATTTATGTGAAATTGGCAAAACTGCCAATTTCACATAAATTTCAGAAGATGCCAATTTCCAATAGGGTCCAGAATAAACAAGAAAGACATTCCTGGGACTAAAATAACATTTCCTCTGTTCATTAGTCACATCCCCAGGTCCCTCTTACATTTCTTTTGCTCTCCACTTTGAATTTTTATTCTCACAAAAATAAAAGACTTACTGTTATGCAGGCTACTGCATTAGTGCAGAAATGGTATAAATAATATCAGCGCACTTGTGAAAGAATATTAGACTCACCAGCTGGCGTGTATTGGACGCTTGGCATGATTTGTTTACTTTTGAACTTTGGTAAAAATTGTACATTTCTGCTACTTTGAGCTCGATTTCAAGGTACTTTTCATTATGAAACCAATCAAAATCATTTCAATTCCTGTAATATGTCTTCCAATCAATAAAATGAGACCATGAAAACTAGAATACAACCATAAATACCATACGAAAATACAGTGCAAAGTCGCTGTTTTAAACCAAAAACACGGTCGGAGATTTTTTTTTCTCATTATGCACTGTGTGCTGCAGGGTTTTTTTATACTGTGCACACTGACCACAGACCCATTCTTTCATATCTAGGCCTACCAGCTTTCTCTCACTAGATTTGAAGGTGCTAGAATTTAGGCGTTCTAGTACGTCAATAATCCTGGTGTGTAAGCCGTACTACACGTACTGCTTACACAGTACTCTTACGCAGTTGCTCTTTGCTGATGACACTGTGCTTTTGGGAGATTCTGAAGAGAAGTTGCAGAGGTTGGTGGATGAGTTTGGTAGGGTATGTAAAAGAAGAAAATTAAAAGTGAATAGTATAGGAAAGAGAAAGATGATGAGGATAACAAAAAAATTAGGTGACAAAAGACTGGATATCAGATTGGAGGGAGAGAGTATGGAGGAGGTGAATGTATTCAGATATTTAGGAGTGGATGTGTCAGCAGATGGGTCTATGAAAAATAGGGTGAATCCTAGAATTGATGAGGGGAAAAAGGTGAGTGGTGCACTTATGAGTCTGTGGAGACAAAGAGTCCATGGAAGCAAAGAGGAGAGAGTATGAGAGCATAGTTATACCAACACTCTTATATGGGTGTGAAACATGGGTGGTGAATGTTGCAACAAGGAGAAGGCTGGAGGCTGTGGAGATGTCATGTCTGAGAGCAATGTGTGGTGTGAATAAAATGCCGAAAATTCGTAGTTTGGAAATTAGGAGAAGGTGCAGGATTACCAAAACTACTATCCAAAGGGCTGAGGAGGGGTTGTTGAGGTGGTTTAGACATATAGAGAGGATGGAACAAAATAGAATGACTTCAAGTGTGTACAGCCTGCCTCTCCTCACTTACCAACATACCTGTTTACTGACAACTCGGAGTTATGAGGGGCGCTCTGACGAGTTGTTATTGTATACTGTACAAGAATTTGGGTCATGAATGGGCAGGGCAGTGTCTCAGCGTCAAACATCTGAATCTCCTTCCTACAGCCACTCAGTACACTAGCTTTCACAGTTTCAAAGACTACATATTTATACAAATTTCCTGTTTTTCACCTTGGAAGAGGGAAACAAACAGGAAAATGGAAGAAGTACAAAATAAGTTCATTGTCAAGGGGTTAGTGATGAGTCTCTCAGCATCAAGCAATCTCCAAGACTACATATTTCGTCTATAAATTTGTACTTTATTGTGCATCCTATAGTAGAAAATAGAGTTAGAAGTGCAGCAGCACTTGCATGAGGAAAACAAGAGGAAAGTGGAAGAAGTACAAAAGAAGTTCACAGTAAAGGGGTTAGCTGGTGTGTTCATATACAGTGGACCCCCGCATAACGATATTAATCCGTTCCTGAGAGCTCATTGTTATGCGAAATTATCGTTATGCGAATGAATTTTCCCCATAAGAAATAATGGAAATCAAATTAATCTGTGCAAGACACCCAAAAGTATGAAAATTTTTTTTTTACCACATGAAATATACATTTTCCTAAACACAAAGAGAAGGATACATGCACAATAGTAGAGCAGTACATGCACAATATATATTGTGCATGTACTACTCTACTAAATGAAGAATAAATGACACCTTTATTGAAGATGCAGCAATGACTGATGAGACACTGTGTCCTGGGAGTGCCTTTTCCTCCTGAGTACTGTAGGTCCTGTTTGGCATTTTTTTCCAGAACAGGCCTTATCACACTGTGTATGCCACTACGATTCTTAAATCTCTCAAACCAACCTCTGCTGGCTTTAAATTCACCAATACGAGCACTAGTTCCAGGCATTTTTCTCTGTTCACCTGGGTGTTAGTCGACTGGTGTGAGTTGCATCCTGGGAGACAAGATTAAGGACCCCAATGGAAATAAGTTAGACAGTCTTCGATGACACTGACTTTTTTGGGTTATCCTGGGTGGCTAACCCTCTGGGGTTAATTGTTTCTTGGTATTCTCAATAAGCCACACCAGCAACGGTGCTACAGCAGCAGCAGCAGCAGCAGCAGCAGCAGCAGCAGCAGCAGCTGACAGTGCTACAGCAGCAGCAGCTGACAGTGCTACAGCAGCAGCAGATGGTGCTACAGCAGCAGCAGATGGTGCTACAGCAGCAGAAGACGGTACTACAGCAGCAGCAGCTGATGGTGGTACAGCAGCAGCAGCAGCTGACAGTGCTACAGCAGCAGCAGACGGTGCTACAGCAGCAGCAGACGGTACTACAGCAGCAGCAGCAGCTGACGGTGGTACAGCAGCAGCAGCAGCTGACAGTGCTACAGCAGCAGCAGCTGACAGTGCTACAGCAGCAGCAGAAGCAGCTGACAGTGCAGCAGCAGCAGCTGACAGTGCTACAGCAGCAGCAGATGGTGCTACAGCAGCAGCAGACGGTACTACAGCAGCAGCAGCAGCAGCAGCAACTGATGGTGGTACAGCAGCAGCAGCAGCTGATGGTGCTACAGCAGCAGCAGCAGCTGACAGTGCTACAGCAGCAGCAGACGGTGCTAAAGCAGCAGCAGACGGTACTACAGCAGCAGCAGCAGCTGACAGTGGTACAGCAGCAGCAGCTGACAGTGCTACAGCAGCAGCAGCAGCTGACAGTGCTACAGCAGCAGCAGCATCAGCAGTTGACCATGGTACCACAATACTATTTCGATAATATTTCTCACCCTTTTTACCACAGGGTTGGCACTAGAAGTTTTCTTGGGGCCCATGGTCACTTATTTTGCAGATAAAATCACCAAAAACGCTGTAATAATACGAAATGTTCTGATTGTATGCTTGGATGTTACCGTGGAGGCTGGCTTGTAAACAATGCCACCGGCGGAACAT